TGAAATTTTAAGCAACATTAACGATTTAAACGCGACAATTTTTTGGGTTTCTCAAAAAATCCTTCTATAACCTGTCCACCTTAAGGAACCAATTCCACAAAATGCAGATACAGAATATAACGCTCATAATGTGCCGAGAAAAAGACGCGATTTTCATAGCATTTTTTGAGACTTCTCGCAGGATACAGGACCACCCATTCTAAAGGTTAAAGTTCATGGCGAGTATTGTCATAATTGTAATCAAACGCTGGCAAAACCACACATCAACCCGCTTTTCTCAAAAAATATCTAACAAATGATATGGAAAATTTGTCAAATACACTAATTGAAAAAATAAAGACCGTGGCAGATATTGGCGAGTCTACCAACCATATTGAATAAAGATCGCAGCATGGAAACAAAAATGATGTGAAGATCAAAAACAAAATAGAAAGCAGCTTTTCAAACTAAAAAAAGTAGCAATGAGATTACCATCGGAGAAAACACTGAATTAAAAAAAAATAACAGTGAATTCGTTAGAAAAAAGAAATGATGAGAACAGACGTTTATATCGATGACAACCAAGATTTGATTTTGAATTTTGACGGCTACGATGCTTAAAATTGTGCGGAGAAATCGTAAGATTATCTTTTTCTTTTGCTTTTTAAATTCTTTTTCCTATTCGAGTCTTTTTGAAACTCTGATCTAATCATAACTGTTGCGGGATGGCAGTTCTCTCTAAATCCATCATTTCTTAATATAACTAAAGTCATTAAAATAAATTAATAACAAGCTTAAAATTGCACTACATCATATAAAACAGATCTAATGTAAGTTGTTTAAAAATTATGATTTAATATAAACTAAGTATTATATACTCCGCTCACGGTCGCTCAGACTTACCAAAAAAGTTAAAAGTTAACATATGTAAGCGCAGTGAAATAAAATTTTCACAGTTTCTGCGTATGATGATATATGTAACAGTATATCGTATCCGCCTAGATTATCGTATCCCCCATGAGAAAATTGAAAACGCAGATGCGATTTAAAATTATAGTATTTAGAAGTGCACGAAGTCGTCCGAAATGAAAAACAAATGAGTTTCTAAATATATTTGGAAGATTTTATTGATTTATAGTGGGAAAATATTGTTTTCTTCATATGAGTTATAATGCTTTAAAAAGAGTTAAAAGATGTTGAAATAATACGTATCATATCATGTGTTATAAGGTCAATGGTATTCATATTATTTTCACCATGGCCCATGCATGAGGGATATGATTTTCTAATCAACAAATTAATTTGATATACAAAGATATAATACCACGTATGTTGCGAATAGGTTGTCCTAGTTTAGTCAAGACCTATTAACATTTTGACTCTAAAACCTAGTTTGAAAATGCTGATATATATATATATACATATATATATATATATATATATATATATATATATATATATATATATATATATATATATATATATATATATATATATATATATATATATATATATATATATATATATATATATATATATATATATATATATGAATGTATATTAGGGTGGGTCGATTTTAAAATTTTATTAAATTTGATTTGCCTGAGCTGCGAATTGATGTCTTTTGGTAAAAAAAGAACCTTACCTTTTTTTTTTTTAATTTAAATGAGTTTTGTGAGGTTCCTCTTTGGATTCTAAATTTATGACGGATCCCAATATTGTTGAAACTTTTTTTCTTCTAAACTATATCAACCTGGTACTCAAAAGAGGCAGAGTAATACGCCTATTTTGAATATAATATTTGTTTTAATTTAAAACTAAAAAGAAAAAAATAATGTCGTTTTTTTCATTAAAAAACTCCCGTCTCCATCAAAACGGGGGTTTAGAAGTATATCTTTGCAAATATTTTTTTTCCTTAAATTTTTTTTAATAAAATTATTATCGATAAAACAAGCATTTTTTTCTGCTTTTTTTGAGTCCAAGGTTGATATAGTTTAAAAAAAAAAAAATTCAAAAATATTAGGATCCGTCAAGGATTTAGAATCCAAAGAGAATTCTAAACCTCAAGATCTCATCAAAATCAAATAACATTTTTTTACTTTCATCTTATAATTAATAGACATCGATTCGTGTCTCAGAAATATTGATTTTTAAACTTTCTTTTTTTTGCTATGAAAATCGATCCACCATAATATATATATATATATATATATATATATATATATATATACATATATATATATATATATATATATATATATATATATATATATATATATTGTATGATATTTTGCATTTGTAATAAAATACAAAAACCTATATATATATATATATATATATATATATATATATATATATATATATATATATATATTTATATATATATATATATATATATATATATATAATATATAGTTTACATATTTACAATGGAGGAAATATTGGTTAATTGTGTTTTATGAAAAAATTTACCGATATTGATAAATATCACTTTGGATGTATTCAATAGGGAAAATAATCTTCTCAAAATTTGCAACACATGTGCAGGTATACAATTTTTTATGAAATTTTTAATTTGTCTTTGAATAATTATATATAAATCAAATAAAACAGATATTCTTTCATTTAATAGATTCTATAAGTGGTATACCTTACCAAGAAAAAGTTGTTGTAGTTCAAAGAGGTATCTTTGTGACTGGTGAAATGTGTAATTTTATAAAGTTTAAGATTAAATTTAGTATCAATCAATATTTTTTTTGGTTTATTTTGTAATTTACTATTGGTAAGCAAATATATCGATTGAATGATTGATTTCATTTCAGGACTAATGAGCTAGTGAATAAATTGCCTGATGAAGATGATGCTTTTTCTGCAGGTAATGATTATTTGTTTGCTCTGTCTAGACAGTACAATATGTGCTCAATAAGTTTATCCCCATTGGGCTATAGAAAATTATTCCACTAATCAAAATTTGTTCCATGGAATACAAAATTCACTAGACGGTGGTTCCTCTAATTGTCTGTTGCTTTTATTTGATTAAAATGTAACAAATTATTATTGGCATAATTGTTTTTTTTTTTATTTGAAGATAAAAATCTGGTTGCAGGAAGCAAGGTTTCGCATCTTTAGATTGCTTTTTTTTAAGCGCAATAATGATATTATGACCTTGTTTCTTTTGTTATGACTCTAATAATTATTTATTAACACAGGAACTTTGGAATGATAGTGCTGATTTTAGTGAAAATGAAAACAGTTCCAATAAAGAATCATCATAAATCGCCCAGGTTAATCTCAATTTAAATAATAACTAAGTATTATGTAAAATTTAAATGTTAAAAAGTAATAATTGCATTATTTATGTTGTCTGTAAAAGATTATCGCGTCCCTTATAAGAACGCTATCATGATTTTAAGTTATAGCATTTAGGAAAAATAATGAGAAAAATAGTTAGAAATATTATAATAACCAAAAGGCAAAATTGTGTAAAATTTTCATATTATGAATACGTAGTTTAATACATTGATATTTGAATACATTTCTAAATGACTAATGAAAATTAGAAAAAGTTTAATGATGTTCAAATAATACATGTAATATAGAATTGGTATTTTATTAACTTATGTGTAGGAAGTGCTATTATATATTATATGGTATTATCGTGTATATATGGTATTACTGTGTATATATTAAATGGTATTATAAGTGTTATTATATATTATATGGTATTATATATATTATATATCATGCGGTAGTGGTGTAGTGGTAAAACACTCGTTTCATAAGCGAGAGGTTCCGAGTCCGATCCCTACCATGTCCTTGGTAGTACCGCGCTCAACTTGTTTCTCTGCGCAGCGGCCTTGTTCGTCAAGGTTCGTGTTAACCTTGTTCGTCAAGGTTCGTTAAGTAGCCTCCTCGTCTGCAGTGGCCTTCTCGGCCTTGAGGAGGTGAATAACAAAAAATATATATATATATAAATTTTTAAAGTTAATTAATATAATATAACAATACATATTTTTAGTTTTTTTTTAAGCCTGTATTGGAAAAGGAAGAAAAACAACAACAATACTTGCATAATTTTATTACATATTTGACCGAAAATATATATCCACCTGGTCTTGAAAAAAATGATAAACGTACGTTTCGAAGTGTGGCAAAAAAGTATTGTGTACAAGATATGATGCTTACAAACATTCTTGTTTTACACTTTTTCACCGATACTGTTTTTCAAGTTGTAAATATTTTGTAGATGGTAAGCTCAAGCGAAAAGTAACGGTGTTTGGGAATTCTGTTTATGCAGATGTTATTATGGACACGGAGGAAAGACTAAAAACTTATACATCGGAGCATGACAGTCCTTCAGGTGAACATAGTGGCCAAACAAAAACAAAAGCGAAAACTATGGGAAAGTATTGTTGGCCTAATATCAGCGGAGATATTATAAAATGGGTAAATGGCTTTTTTTTCAAAAGGGAAGTTAACTTTTAACATTTTTACTCCCTCTATATAATTTTTGATTTTTAATGCTTCTATTTTGTTTTAGAAATCTTTGACCGTTTTAATTCTTTTTCTTAAAATTATTAAAAACAACTTGACTGTTTTAACTCCTTTAAAGGCCTAATGTCTACCGAGATATACAGCAAAGACAACAGGGCATATTTATCTATATTACATATGTTTTTTATCACATATTTTAACTACAGGTTTCTTAGTAATTCTAACAAATTCTTAATCCACAGGTAAAACAATGCAAGCGTGTCAAACATCTGGTCAGCTGATTTCTGTTTCAGAGCCTTTTCATTCAATAAAGGTAAAATGAAATAATGTAAAAAATATATAAAAATAAATTATTATTTTATACTCTACTCTATAAATATAGAAATTTGTCAAATAATTAATTTAATAACAATTGTAGATATAAAATTGACCAAATACAGTAGTAATATTTGAGATAATTTTTTTAGACTACGCAAGTATGAGAAACTGTTGGGATAAATTTTGCTGGCCCATTTACAGAAACATCTATGGGAAATAAATATTTTATGAGCTGCACTGATTTATTTTTAAAATGGCCTGTTGCTTATGCATTGCCAAATAAGGAGGCTTTAACGGTAGCCAAGTCAATAATTAAGTTAGTAACTACATTTGGGTTTCCATCTGTAATACTTTCTGACAATGGTTCAGAGTTTTGTAATGAGGTAAAGACTTTTAAAACATTAATTTAAAACAAAATATTTTGATGAGATTACTAAAATTTTACATTTTTTCTAGTTAAACAATGAAATGTATAGGTTGTTAGGAATAGAGCGAAGAGAAACGGCTGTTTATCATCCTCAAACAAATGGCCAAGATGAAAACACAAACAAAAATATAAAAAGGCATTTAGTCTTATTTTGTGTATTTCTAAATTTTAGACTGGTTATATAAAAACAATTAAATTAAATTTTGTTAGAATCTATTTGTAACAAAATTATTTTGCTACTTTATTTCATGGATTTTTATTAGAAAAATAAGAAAACTAATTGATGAAAATCAGTCCAATTGGGATGAATTTCTTAAAAGTAGTCTTGTATCCACTACGATTTGAAAGACAAACCTCTACAAAAGTTTTACCATTTGAGATTATGTTTGGGGGTCGCTTACCAGTTTTTAGTAGTGAATTAAAAGAAGTATATTACATTATGTAAGATTAAAAAAAAAAATGTTTAGTTTACTAATTACAAGTGCAGTTATTAAGGGAATTGCATAATATTTTAAGGAAATTATTGTTTTTGGTATAACAGAGGAAGAAGTTATAGTTGAAGTTGAAAAAAATAGGAGCCACGTTGAAAATTTAACTAATCTAATTTCTTAGGTAAGTTTAACTTGAGTAACTTAGTTGAGATAATGACTGACCAAAAGTTGTGCACATTATCTTTAGAAAATTATAGTTGTGTATCAACACTCAATTGATTTTAGAACATCAAAGATGCTCAAGCAAAACAAAAAAAATATTATGATGCTAGAGTCCAAAAAAATTGTAAAGTATCTGCTGACCCAATTATGGTAGGAGATAAGGTTTTACTTCTGGACATAAGAGGAAGAAGAAGCAAAGGGGCTGCATTCAAGCCGAGATTTACAGGACCTTATTATGTAGCCCATTTTACAAAATGTGGGAATTTTAAACTTAATGATTTGAATAACATTCCTTTAAAATGCACTCACAAAAAATTGCATATTAAAAAGTTCATTGAAAGTTTGGAGAAAGGTATTTATTATTTAATTTAATTGTTTAAAGAAAAAATTAGTAATAATAATTTCTTTTATTAATACTATATAATTTATGCATGCTAACTAATTTTAAATTAAAAATAATTTTTTTTTTAATTTCATATAAATTTAGAATAATTTATAGCTATTTCGAAAAATGCTGTGCAGTTTCTAATTTTTAATATGTAATTTTTAGATGTAATTTTATGTCTGATTTGGATGGTTTTCATAATGACATAAATGCCATTATGAGAGAGTTGAAGCAATATTTTACAACCGGAAGTCCTTCCTGACATTAACATGATCAGGTTGTACTGGACTACATGTTACCAGTACAGGATAACCTGACTTGACGTAATGATACCCTGACATGACGGTCCAACAGGATGATACATATCGTCTTTATATACATAGGTTGTACTATTTATCTGTTACTCATGAGAGTCTGACTAAAACGGGATTTTTTAAAGTAATAGTTTTCCAATATATTAGAAAATGTAAAATAAAGTCAATAATTTAATTTCTAGATGTTTTAGAGAATGCTGTTACAGAACATTGCAGCAATGTTGAAAACATTGAAGGTATATATTGTTCTGTCATAGAATATGATAAAAAAGACTTTTTTTACAATCAGAGGCCAGCAAGATGTATAAATGGGTTTATGACATGCACCAGTAATTAACAAAATGCAAATTAAAAGAAACTTCTTCCTCAACCCTACTTCTTTCTGGTCACATTAATTCCTTTCGATAAAATAATTGTCATTACAATAATTATCTTATTGTTATTTTAATTGCTAAAATCAAATATGTCTATAATATGTAAATATGCTTCACGTATATTTATAGTGGTAACAGATACAAAAATAAGTTGCCTGATTGAAGATTTTAAAGATACGTAGCATTTAATGGCACACCAATCAATTAATTAGCATGTAATGGCACACCAACTAAATATAAAATATAACTAATAATAAATTGCTTAGTTTTAATCTTTTTTAAAGTTTTATGGTGTTTTTTTAGTATATTTTAATAGTCTATAGTATTTAATTGTAATCATAAGATGTAGCACTATTGCATTTCAAAATAGGTGATATACTGATGGAATATCTTTGTCAGATTAGACCTATTAAAGCTGTAATGGGTATCTATTTCAGTTTGGGTGGTTGTAAAATATACGATTATTCGTTACATGTTGCTTTAAATGGCAGTCTAAGCGATGGAGTTGTTTACGTTAATCTTACACTTTTGGCAAGCGATCAGATAAAGGTAAGATTTTTTTTTTAGAAAAAAGAGTTAATAACAATATTCTAGCGTTGAAGTAACTTATATTACCTGTTTAAATATTTACTACTATGCTGTTTAAACTATATATATATATATATATATATATATATATATATATATACATATATATATATATATATATATATATATATATATAAATATATATATATATATATATATATATATATATATACATATATATATATATATATATATATATATATATATATATATATATATATATATATATATATATATATATATATATATATATATAAACACATTTGAATATATAATATGTATCGAATCGAAGTATTGGCGCCAGGCTGGGTTACTTTCATTAGAAGAGTTGCCACATCCAACTGACTTGATAAGAAAGTACCATGTAGTAATTTATTGTTTTTTACTGTTGGATAAAACAGTTATAAATATACATATTTATATATATATATATATATATATATATATATATATATATATATATATATATATATATATATATATATATATATATATATATATATATATATATATATATATATATATATAAATATATACGTATTTATATACATATATATGTATATATTTAAATATATATATATATATATATATATATATATATATATATATATATATATATATATATATATATATATATATATATATAGATATATATATATATATATATATATATATATATATAAATATATATATATATATGTAATAATGTTTATAAAATTTTTATTTCATTTCAGAATGAGCTCTTTAAGCTTGATATTTTAATATGCTGTGTTGTTTTGAATTTTCATTGGACACTTACAGTAAAATTAGTGTAATTTCTATAACTAATTTAGAGACTATATTTTTTGAGATTATCAAACCACGTGAGAAAATTATCCTATATATTAACCTTCTTGGTGAAACCAAAGCTTCTATATTGAAAGAAGAAAAAAAGTGAAAGTATGTTATTATATCAATGACTTTAAATTTTGAAATTTGAAATTCAAAATTAATGAGATATTAAAAAAGAATCAAATAATTTTTTTGTACATATCTTAGTAGTTACTTGATGCGAAGATACAGTGTTATAGAGAAATTCGAGTTAGTGACATTACCACATGCGTTACAAACTGACAATATATCATGTGGAGTCTTTTGTCTGAAGGTAATTTTATTAAAACATGTAGTTGAGATAAATTTGAACAAATAAATTGTTTGGAAAAATTAGAAGCGCATCACAAAATGTGGACTCAGTGACAAAATATAAAAGTATTTACTGTGTATAAAAGTCTCAAAAATTTAAACCAAAAGCATAAGGAAAAGATTTAAATATAATTTAATCATAAAAGTAATATAACTCTTAAACAAACCTGCATGATCTTAGTACGGCATGCATATTGTGGTGAAACCATATGAAGTCATAACATTCATTTATTTTCTTAAAACGAATTAATAGAAATCGAAAATTATTTCTTTTTAGTCTTAATTGTATCATTGAATTATATCAAGAGGCTGTAATAATTATTTTCAGTTTGCTGAAAATTATATAAATGAATCAGAGTTAGCGCTTAACTTTCCACTAGAAGATGTTATAGAGTTTAGAAAGAATTTACTTATGGAAAGACGAGGTCTGTAAACAGTAGTTTTAATGTTGACAAAAAGGAATCTTTAAAAAAAAAAATAAACTGTGGTAAATGTTTAAATTAATAGGTCAGAAAAGATGGAAAGATAAACTTAGGCGAATCTGGGTAAATGGGTAAATTAAATAGATTTGCTTACGTTTTCTATTATTACGTTTTAAAGTTAAATGTTTATTTTTAATCAACTAAAAGAAAGTGCATTACCTGAAAAACCACTACTGTTTTATAGATAAAATGTGCTAACTGCGTTCCAAATAGATGGTTTCATATGGAATGCATTGGTTATGCAAAAGAAACAAGTGGTTTATTTACTTGCTCAAACGTTTCTCTTGCTACTGTATGCTGTTAATATAATCATTTCAATTTTAGTGCTACTTTATTGACCTTAATTTTTTAATTATTGTACTTAATTTTTTTGCTTTCATTTTTAAATAAATAAAACGTCATAATATAAACAACTTATTTAGATTGATGTTATAATTTTAGATATGTCTGCCATAATCAGAGTTGATTGCAAAACAATTAAAAACATTGATTTTGAAAAGTTGAATTTTTGAAAAACAACGTTGTTTTTGTTTGTTGATTTTTAAACCCATATTAACAAAGAACATTAAAAACATTTTATACTTAGAATATCATACCCCCCTGTATAAGAATCGTTTTCGACAAAACTTAGTAAAATATGCGATATAGTATCAATTTTGGTAATGGGACGTAAGAGCGAAAAGTTTAATAGCGAAAGAACGTTAAAGCGAAAATTTTAAGAGTGAAAACCGGTATCGTTTAACTGGTATAAGCTTAACAACAACAACAACAATGTTATTATTGAAATTTTTTCTGAATTTGTTATTATTTCAATGTTATATTATAGATTATTTAGCTTTTGGATTTTATTTTTTTTAAACTGTTTATATTTTTATAGATAGTTAAATTTTTTATATTTAGAAGTTAGTTATGGATTAGAATTATTTATTTGATATTCTAGCTGAGAGTTATAGTTACAATTAGAGTTTATCAGATTAAATAAATAAAAAAAACTTATTGTATATAGGTTAGAGTTTATGTATATATTATTTAATTTATTTTTGCTTTTTGAAATATATGCATTAAATTTCAAGCAAAAGATTGTTTAAATGTTTAAATAAAAATTATTCATAAAATTAAGAAGAAGCGAACTTTTATTTTGATTAGGTATGGTGAGTTAGGCTGTTTACACTTGAAACTTTTAGAAATGATAAGATAATTAAACCTCAAGAATTGATGTTTAAATTTTGAGTCATAAACTAAAACCAAGGGCTAATATATCAACATATTTGAAAAAGAGACATACAAAGGTTAGTTTTTAATAAAAAATATTGCCTAGTAGGTAACATCTACAATATTACCTAGTAGATAATATCTTCAAATATTAC